CTGTGATGGAGGAAACCGGTGAAAAGGCCTGAAAAGTCGGGGCAGAACGATTATTGGAGATCGGCTTTAACACCCTGGAAGGTTCACATGGAACCTGAAAGCCACTGGTTGTAGAGGAAAACAGTCTTTCAGGGTGTCATTCCACCCGGGTCCATGTTAGGTGTTTGGGTGTCTACTCAGCAGCTCAGCCAGCTCCGCGGGTCGCCAGCTCCGTGGGTCCCACGAACCGTCCTGTGTCCCACGGTTCGCGCCATGGCACCCTGAGCAGCTTCTCGTCCTCAGGCCGCTGCGCTGTTCGCCTTGTCCCCCTTGAGAACCCTGACCCAAAGATATCATGGTGATGGGAAGACTGACAATCCAATTGTCAGCTGTTGCGTGATCTTGAGCAAAAGGGATCCCCCCAAATTGATGCCGGATTCGTCTTTGTCACCTGTCACCCTGGTCTGAATCGCCCCATCTGTCCATCCATCCGTCGGCCGAAGCGCAGAACCTGCAGAAGCGCAGAACCTGCAGAAGCGCAGAACCTGCAGCGCCACGGCGGGAGGCGGTGCATGGGCATTCACAGCATAATTAGCCTTTTATATATGAGTGTTTGGTTGATGCATTTCATATAGAGGGAATAGCCCTATACTCATGAACAACCAATATAGGTATTAAACGTGGGTATGCTCTATGTTTAAGTTACTGGGGAAAAGTGGATTCAGGGGTTGCAGGGGCTCATGGTATCAAAGAAATTTAACGTAGATCTGAACTGGCCAGTAGTAGTCGAACCTTCGACCTTGCGAGAGGCCCGTTGGCCCAACTCCTTGAAAAGCAATATATGTTAACATGGAACCTGAGAAGAGATTCATGTTTGGCCTTCACAGGTGCCACGTTAGCGTTTTTGCAAAATCTGAAAAGTTCTTCGTTTGTTTGTTCTTCAAGTTGGATCCTGGGTGCCTGCTTTTCACTTTTTTCCTCCAGATCTCATTGACATGGTATAGACCCTCGAAATCGTTTCTGCAGCTATTTAAACGTATTCAATTATTTTTGAATACGTTAGTTTTCCACGGTGTATCTATATTTATGTATATGGTGACTCATGAGCATCATGGGGATCGTCACGAAATCTCCGTGAAGTCACGGCTCAGGCCTCCCATTTTCTCAGGTTGGGGGGAACCAGCTGCGCCGCGATGGACGCACTGCACGAGCTGAGCTTGTGCGGTGTGCTGGCAGGGCTGACCGAGCCCGAGGTCAGCACGCTGGCTGAGCTGGGCTGGACTGCTACGAAGCTCGCGACACTGCGAGGCTGCCGACCTCAGGTGCTTGATGAGGTGGTGAGCTCAGCCAAGCGTAAGAGGGAGAGCTTCCAGGCCGATGCCAAGACCCTGAAGGAGATGATCGAGCAATGTGATAAACGCTCGGTGAACATCCACCGGGCGGATGCAGGCAGAGGCTCTCAAGAGCTGCTGGAGGCTCACCTGCAGCACCAGAGGGAGAAGAGACGAAGGGCCTTCATCGACTTGGAGGAGGCGGAGTTGGTCGAGAAGATCTCCATGGTTGGCACCGCGAAGCGGGTCAAGTGGCCGACACGACTCGGGAAGAGGCTGCATCTGGCCGGGTCGGACCTGGCTTTGAGGGAGCAAGCCGAGAAGGTGGAGCGCGACAGGTGGCTCAGTGAACTGAGGATCATCATGAAGGACGCCAAGCTTCCGGTGGCTTTGAGATCTTCGGAGGATTCGCTGATGCTGAGGATAGCTAAGGGCAGGCGCCCGAACACACTGAGAAAGCATGTCAAAACGTGGAACAAAGTCTCAGTGTGGCTTCGCTCGACATATGGAAGGTCCTGGCCGTCTTCGCCCGAGGAGCTGGCCGAGTACATTGAAGCCATAGTGCAAGAGCCTTGTGCACGGTCTACGCCTGAGGCGATCTACAAGACGTTCATGTACCTGGAGTTCGCCGGAGAAGTGGAGGAAGCGAAGCAGATGCACCGGGCGGCTTCATTGAAGAATGCGATTGAGGAGGCCAACATGAGATTGGCCACGGTGGAGATGAGGCCGTCCAGCCAGGCCCGCGTCCTGCCAGTGGCGATTGTGGCGGCCATGGAGGAGATGGTGTTGAGTGAGGCGAACAAGCCGATCTCCAGGGCACACGCCTGGTTTAGGCTTGTCAAGCTGTGGGCCGGCGTGAGGTTTGATGACACCCGCGGCACGCCCAATAGATCCATGGAGTTGAAGGACACGCACCTGATGGGAGTGATCCACAAGTCCAAGACATCGGGCCCGGGGAAGAAAGTCCTTCTGCTACCGTTCTACGTCTCGAAGGAGGCATGGGTGGCGCATCACAACTGGCTCACGGTGGGATGGCGCCTATGGAATCAGATGGGCATGGAGGCCGGCATCCTCACCAGAGATTTTATGTTGCCGTGGCCGAATGCGCAGGGGAATGCATTCGTGCGGAGGATGGCGGACTATTCTACATCCTCGGCTATGTCCCAAGCATTGTTCGGGGAGCTGTGGAAGACCGTGGACGGCAGGAAGGAGACTCTGCTCTTCGATGGTGTTGGCACTGTGTGGACCGAACACAGCGAACGAGCGACCTTGAGAACGTGGTCGCAGGCGGCGAGAGTACCGCCAGACATCAGGAAACAGCTGGGCAGGTGGAGACCTTCGGCTGATGAAGGCTATGAGAGAGCAGCAAGGGCCAACATCTTGCGTGCGCAACGGGTGATTGGGGCCTTCATCAGGGACAACCTTGGTCGAGGAGACCCCTTTGATGAGAGCTTGGTGATCGAGGTTGTGCAGCAGAAGATGGAGCAGTTGGGCTATCCGGAGGATGCAGTGGTCGAGCAGCACAAGATGCTGGAGTCGTTCGATGCGATGGCCGGGGACCTCGACCCCAGCTGGAGGCCGAAGTGGACACCCACGGGACCTGTGGTCCTGCTCGAGCCGAACGAGGACGAGGTGGAGGTGCTCCAAGAGGGCGACCAGGGCGAGGGTGGCTTCGAGTCTGAAGAGGACTTGGTGATCGGCGAATCCAGTGAGGTTGTACAGGCCGAAGCCATTGCAGGCACCTTCGTGGTGTCGATCGTGGGTCGTTCGCAAACGCGGACCTTGCATCGGGTTGGCGAATGCCACCGACAACCAGGCGTGCATTACGCCCATTTCGAGATGCTAGGTGATGAACCACCAGACCCGATCAAATATCATCGGGCATGTAAGAATTGTTTTGGCAAAGACGCCATGGCAAAGCCTGGGTCCCCGGAAGAAGAGAGCTCCGGGGATATCACATCGTCAGACTCCGATGGGTCGGAGGAGGAAGCCGCAGGGGGAGAATCCTACAACTCTCCTTGCAGGGACCTGAAACTGCACAGAATGGTGTGCGGCAGAAACGTCCGGGTCGAGTGCCGTGCATTGGTAAAGGGATGATCGGAAGAAGTTTGATTTGCCGGTTGTTCGAGTTGAGGGGATTCGAGATGAGAGTCGTTGCTTGATGTGGGTAGGAGGTTGGCTTTCGTTCGATCGGCCTTCGTTCGTCTCGCATGGATCGGAAGCACCCTGCAGGCATGTGCTTTGAAACCTGCAACTATGATGTGGCTCCGAGAGCCGTGAGGCACGGCTGCTCTATCTCGCGGGGGTTGCACCTGATCCCTCGCGAGGGCCGGACGCGGCCATGGCGGCTGGCGGCGGAGCGGGCGCTGCACCTGCGCTGGACATAGGCCACGACACGGCGGTGCGGCGGGCCAATGCGATTAGCCTGCTGGACGCAGATCTACATGGGCTGCTGCAGATCAAAGAAGTGAACGAGACGATCCAGGCGAAGCTGGCGGTTGCAAAGGTGAGGACGATCAGCCGGCTCAGCACGGTGGCTGACGATCGCGCTGGGATGCGCAAGTTCTGTGTTGACGTGCTTGGCCTGGACGAAGCAACAGACATCGTGGATGTGGCTTCGATGGTGGATGCGTGGGAATCATCATCAACGAGGATGGCTATTCGGCATAAAGCAGAGGCAGAGGCTG